TACCTACCCAATTTCTTGATGTTACCTGCCATATTGGTAGACATTTTTTGTTTATTCCACAAAGTAAGACATTTTGGAAAGAACTTTGTGATATTATTTTATGTTATCAGCTAAAGCTAAAAAATTTATAATGCCCATAATTATGGGAGACCGGTCTTATAATGAACCCAGGGTTATAGTGAGAGTGGCTTTATTTTCTAGAGTATTAAACTCTAAGAGATAATTTTTTACCAAAACTATATACTTATATATTGCATATGCGGCTATAATTTTTATTTCTAACGGACCGCTTGAAGAATTTTTAATATGCTTTATAATATTCGTACCTTCAAACGTAACTTTTTACACTTTTACTATTTTTCAAAAATAAAGATTAATATATAATTTTACCACACAATAATCATCTTATATAAAAGAAAAAATCCTATTTTATAGAATAACAAATTACCCGAACAAAATTGATAATATAAATACTTCAAAATATGATCTTAATCAAAGTGGTGCTACTGGGGCTATTTTTATGGGGTTAGGTCGAACCTTATTTTTTTGCTATTTTTTAAAAATTTGACATGCAAAAAAAGCCAAGGAGAGACCAACTAAAAGAAAAAAAATCGAAAAATGTTATTATATGATAAATAATTGTTTGGTATACAAATAAATTATATCAAGCATAACAATCAAGACTGCTTTCAATGTCAGTTATTAGTTACATGGCTTTGCAATTTTATTGTTTTTTTATTTGCAAAGATTGTGAATGTTTTAAATGATTTTATATAACACTTTTATGTTTTAAATCATTAAATATATCCTAATAAAAAAATATATAACTTTTATATATGGAAAATTAAGCAGAGTTTATAATAGCCTCGACCAAGGGCTTGTTCGTCCCCGAGTAGGGTTCACTCGGTTACCAAAAAAAATTCCAGGAAAAATGATATTTTGAAAAAATGATATTTTGAAAAAATTATTAGAGATGTATTTTTGAAATTTAAACATATCATAAAACTAATAGAGCTGAACAAAATGAGATATTTTTTATTAAAAATGATAAAGTACTTATAATTTTCTTAAGGTTTGCCTTTAGGGTTCGCCATAACCCCGTTCTCCCCTACAAGTTTTCAATAAATTAAAAAGAAAAAACTTGATGTTTAATATTTAAAATGATTAGATGAAAAAGAGAAATCTATTTTATTACTTAGAATCTTTTTTATATATTTTGAGTCAAAAAAAAGAAAAGCCTTATCCTTAATTTCAATAAAAAAATGTTTTTAGAGCCAATCCCCATTTTAACTTAATTTTCAGACTCAACTAAGTTAGTCGAAAAGTCGATAAATATAAAATTGTAACTTTCATGAAACTCCATTCGCGATATGATAATGCATTCGCTATAATGCATTAGCTATAATGCATTCGCTATAATGCATTCGCTATAATGCATTCGCGATAATTCATTCGCTATAATGCATTCGTTATAATGCATTCGCTATAATGGATTCGCTATAATGCATTCGCTATAATGCATTCGCTATAATGCATTCGCTATAATGCATTCGCTATAATGCATTCGCTATAATGCATTCGTTATAATGTATTCGCGATAATTCATTCGCTATAATACATTCGCTATAATGCATTCGCGGTAATATATTCGCGAAAATGCATTCGCGATAATTCATTCGCTGTAATGTATTCGCTATAATACATTCGCGATAACATTTTCGCAGTATTACATTTTCGCTAATACATTCGCTATAATATTTTCGCTGTATTATATTCGCTATAATGCATTCGCGGTAATGCATTCGCTATATTATATTCGCGATAATGCATTCGCTGTAATGCATTCGCTATAATATCTTTTCGCGGTAATCGACATTCGCGATAATGCATTCGCGATAATATATTTCGCGCTAAAATTTTCGCGGTATTGACATGTAACCCATAAAATGCGTTTTACCAGATGATTCGTCATTTTTTCAAATGTATACAATACCGATACATTAAAAATTAGTTATTTGTTTTGGAAATTTTATAATCAACAGCCAATATATATGTCGTATTGGGATATAGAATCCGAGGGGATTCGGAATCTCTCAATTTTAAATAAACATATGAAATACTTTTGATTTATAAATTTTAAAAAATACACAAAAGTTGAAGTAAAAAATGTTTGAAATTTATAGAATAGGTACTCTATACATGCTGGAATATTTTTTCGGTCACCAAATTTAAAATCACCCTCAAATTATTTAAAATTGAGATATTTCGCATGGATTCTGTATCTCAAGACAACGTTAATTCCAAGTCAAATCAACAAATATTTGGTAGTTTTCGTGGGAATTTCTTTGATAAATCGGTATATGCAGTTTACTATAATGAGTAAAATTGTCCAAATTTTAAAGTTCAATTTTGCCGGCATGCCGAGATTTGACTCATTAAATTTGTAAATGGAAAAGTTGATATTTTTGATCATCATTATCTCACATATAAGCAAAGATCATAAAAAACTACAAACAGATTTGATATCTCATATAGCTTTCAAATTATTTTTTATTATTTATAATTTTTTTAAAAAAATAGCGTTTTACCGGCAATTGAATGACGGAAATCAATCCATCTCAAAAATGACCTTGAAGTTTTTTAAAAAAGCAAAATTAAGCCTTATTATTAAGGCAAGCATAAAATTAATTTGTGATCTCAAACAGTTTTTGGGATATTTATTAAATTTTATTTTTTCTAAAACATGATTTTTTTAATTTACAAATTTCGAAAATTAAATACGTTTTTTAAAATATAAACCAGAGACCTGCATGCCTAGCCCTGTATTTTTTAAAAATATACCCTTACCGGGCCTAATTTTTTTTAATCGTCATATCTACAAAAATTACAAATAATTAAAACATATTTAAAAGCAATATAACACACATTCATTAACTTATATTTCCTATTTCTATTTTTTCGATCCTTAGAAAATATTATTTAAATTAAATATTCAACTAATCATTACTTTAGATGATATTAAAAGCAACAAAAATACACTCAATATTTAAAATAGAATACAATTAAAGGGAAAATTGTATTTTAGATAAGTATCATTATATCCCCCTTTTTTATCCCAAATTCAGGCAAATAAATATGTTTCCAGGGAGAGAGCGCAAAGACTATACCTATATAAAAGACTATATTAAATTACAAGAAGAACAGGAAATAAGGGAATTACCATCGATGTGGTAATTCAAACTAACTCCTTTTATAACAAATGGGGAGATAAATTTTTTAATATTCGCTGAAAAACGCTAAAATGCTTAAGGTAGGGGAGACCGGGGTACATTGAGTACAGGGGAACGTTAGGACATTCTAATTATAATTTGAGCTATTATTTTATAAGACTGGAAATTTGAGCCTAACATAGATAATTTAGTCATACATGATTGGCTAAAAAAGATTTGAAAAATATTTAGTATTTTAATTTTTACAGAAGAAAATGTGTTTTGGCATACCAAAAGTAATAATAAATATTTGCAAACTTTATCGTTTATATTTATAAATAAAGCTTCAAAAATCATAATAAATAGATTTTAGGAAAGCCTAAACCCAATTTTCCAATCTGGCAAACTTACAGAATCAATAAACATGAATTAATATGATTTTGGATGATATTTATAAAGTTAGTGGGCTCGGTCATAGTTGGTCATAGTATAGTTGGGACACGCCATTTTAGCTCATTTTATAAACAATTTTATTATTTTATTATTAATTTAGTATTGTGAATAATGAATAATTAAATACTTATCTTTCGCTATGTTTATGATTAAAAAAAAATTTTTTACATTTTTTTCTTTACAATTTTTTTTTTCCATTAAAATAAATTTCCTAAATTTTGCTAAAATTTTTTTTATATAGTTATTGATTATGAATTACAATATTATCAATAAAATCATATGTGTCATAGTCTCTAGTCTTACTGGATTACTGATTTTAAATTTTTAAATTTATTTAGACCTCTATTTCACGAGTGTCCCAACATATGTGTGTCCCAACGAACACAGAGTCTGTCATAGTTGGGACAAAAAATTTTTTTTTAAATTCAATTTTCTAAAAAAATATAATCTTCATAAAATATATATTAATTATTTCAAATAGCCTATACTTCTGGGATTCAGAAGATGCTTTAATTATTCAGATTAGTCTATTAATATTAAAATTATTAAGGTTTGAACGAAAAGTGTCCCAACCATCCCCGGTCTCCCCTATATTTCAATTTTTTTTAAAACCAAATAGAAAATTTTTTTACACCCTAACCGATATTTTTTAAAAAAAAATATGTGGGGGGGGGGGAATTTTTTGAAAAAAATCAGAGCCGGTACGTGACGAATTTTTTTGGAAATTCGGCCTGGGGCATGTATTGGTACCTCTGCATGTCTCTAATATAAATATAAATAATGTCTAAAATATATTTCTAGAAAATTTTAAAAATTTAACATACAATTTTATTAAAATTTCTAAAAGATTTGAAACTTTTTGAATCTTTAAACAAATTTTGAACCTAGTATAAATTTTTAACGGTTGAGTTCTAAATATTTATATGGGGTTTTTTCATCGCTATTATGCAAATAAATGGTTGTCTTATTTTTATTGATTGTAATTTTTAAACCTTGGGCTCGAAATAAAAATTTCGGATATTATGGTTTTGATCTTGTTTATAATTACACTTTTTCAAAATAATAAATGGTCTTTTATTTTCATTAGAGTTGTTAATGCTCCTTTTAGAAGGAGCAACTCCTAGCTTCCGCTTCTGATGAGTTTTTGAAATGAGTGCGCTCCTGTTTCAAATTTAAAAAAGGATCGTCGATTTAGTCTCTCTTTTGATTTAAAGTACACAAAACAAAATTATATGTTTTTATCTACATTATTTATATGATAGATACTGATATATTATTTTACCATGAATTGTCTTTGAACCTCTGAAAAAGTTAAAAAATAATTATAATTTTAATTACCGAAATTTTGATTGATGATCTGTGAATTGTTAACGGAAGGGTTATTATTGTTGTTGTAATTGACCAAATATTTACCGGGATAAGTGTGGAGACTAGGAATGGGGACAGGTGAACACGATGAAGAAGAATGGTCACTTTTTGATCTAACCACGTTATTATTCATAGTTTTGTTACTCCCATTGAGATATTTATTATTGTGATTAACCATGGCTACTTCAGCCTCCGCTTCGCTCAACCAAGCCTGAAGGATAGGTTTCAACGCTACCATGTTATTATGACTTAGTGTCAGTGATTCAAAACTTTATTTTAAATCAAATAAAATTTTTAGATATCATAACTATGTTAGAGCCCAAATTCGGCCCGAATCTAAACCCTGCTCTAGGCCGGGCTAGCCAAAATTTAAAAATACATCGGGGCTTGGGCCTGAAAAATTTATAAAAATCTACAAAAATAATGTTTTCTCTTGTTTAAATATAGGGATTTATCAGTGACTGTGATAAGGACAAGGCAATCACCGATTTTTAATAATTTATCTATTTAAAATGTATTTAATTAAAAAATTTTAACCGAAAGGGTTAGAAATTCGGGCTCGGAAGAGACTCAGATCTAAAAACTTTAATATAAATCGGGTCTGGGGAGAGCCGAGAAAATTTAATTTGCAGGGCTCTAAATCTATATAAGTTCAAAAGTAAATTATTAAGTGATTTAGTCAAGCTGTGCGTTATGGAATTCGTTTAAAGCAATCACCGATTTTTAATAATTTATCTTTTTAAAATGTATTTAATTAAAAAATTTTAACCGAGAGGGTTAGAAATTCGGGGTCGGAAGAGACTCAGATCTTAAAATTTTTATATAAATCGGGTCTAGTGAGAGCCGAGAAAATTTATTTTGTAGGGCTCTAATCTATATAAGTTCAAAAGTAAAATATTAAGTGATTTAGTCAAGTTGGGCGTTATGGAATTCGTTTATATATCTTGAATGCTTTCGTAAATTCTATCTAACTACACATCAAATTCTTTATTATTTTCTATTCATTCAATCAACTTACCAAATTTCTAATAGAAACTTTTATTTAATTTAACTTCCTATGTTTCCAAAACTTAGAATTATTTTATTCCCAATTTAAACTCAAATATTTTTTGTTCAAATAAATTAATATTTTATTTAGAATAGGTGTTTTTCTTATATAGTAATTAGGATATAAAAACCTACATTATAATAATATTTTTTATTTTTGAAAATTAAAGTAATTTTTAAGGGTTTACAATCATGGCTATGAACTAGACCCGAATCCAGAGTTGTGAATCTGTGGGTATTTTATGAGAATCTGAATCTAAACCCGAATCCGTTTTCAAATTTCTTAAGAAGCTGATCCGACGGTTTCATACTTTTTCAAAATTTAATGGAAAAATATTGGAAGATGTTCTAATTGTGCGATTGAATAAAATTTTTAATATTGCTAAATAAAATATCAAAGATATTATTAATTATGTAGATTTAGATTATTATGAAGATAATCAATATTTATAAAGTTTGAATGAAATATTATACAACTTTAAAAAATGATTTAATATAGATTTTTAAAAAAATTAAATGACATTTTAAGATTTTTGATTTCCATTTTAAAAATTTAGGCTGACATTTTAGAAATTTTGATTGTCATTTAAAAATTTGATTGACGTTGAAACTATGTCATGTTTTGATCTAGTTTTGAACCCGAACCTGGCCAAAAAATTTTGTGTGTTTGAAGCACTTCTTTACGTCAAAATATTTGTTGCATAAATTTTGTTGAAGGACTATAAAGTCCTTTTTAGACCTTTGGCCAGGTACCTTTTGTAAAAAAAATGGTTTTACACTTTTTCTACAAATTTTAAATTTCTAAAAATACCAATTATAGTTATTATTTATAAAAAATTATTAATACTTGTTTATTTTAAATTCTAGTTTGTAATGACTTATTGCATTTATTATTTAGGAAAAATGACTGGAGGGGGTGGGAAGGGGGTGTAGTAGAATATTTTTTATTAGCTTTAATCTCCCAGATGGGGAGGGGAGTACTATTTCTTATCTTATGCCTGTTATAATTTAAATCCTCAAGTATAGAAGTAAAATAACCTTTTTTTGCGAAAAATGCATTTCCAAATTTTTAACTTAGAAGTTATTTTAAAAATTTTTTAAAAATACAATAAAATTAGGATTGCATTATTTATAATCAATGACATATTATACTTATACCTAGATGGATGATTTATTCTTTAAAGCTCATTCAGGCATAGCTGAATAAATCAGCTGGCGACACCTTATTTTGGTTTCTTATATAACAATATTATAAGTAAATATAACTCGAAATTAGTGATCTGCATCGGGCGGCCCGAAATTTTTTTAAAAAATTTTGCCGGCAGACCCGAACCCGAAATAAATTTTAAAAAGTTTTAACGGCCGGCCCGGCCAGAACCCGATTTTTTTTTAAAAAAACTAACCGGCCCGGCCTGGCCCGAATTTATTTAAATATAAAATTTAATCTTTATAATTACTCAAAATAAGTCATATATGTTATATGGCGTCTAGTTTCTATTAATAAAATCTAATATTTTAATTTTACATAAAAATTCAACATTAAATGATAAATTTAGATATATTTAAAAAAAATTCCAAAGCTTGACTCGACCAGGCCCGAATTTCTTTAAAAAATATTAAGCCCAGCCCGTACCCGATTCAGATCTCTACTAGAAATATTTTTTAAAAAAAGTTTTCATAAAATTTTATTGTAAAGTTTTTATATTGTAAATCAAACTGGAGTAACCAGCTGATTTGTATTTATAACATTTAATGAATAAATCGACAGTCTGGGTAGTATTATCATTGACTATAATATAAAAAGTGGAATATTCAGGATTTTAGTAAGTGAGAGGGGGGGGGGCATTCGAAGTGGTTTTCTGCCATAAATTTTAATGGATTTGAAAGTATTGCTTAATAATGACATATTGCAATTGTTTATTTAGAGATGGGGTTAGTGTAGGGAGATATTTTTATGTTAGCTTAAAATGATATTTACGTAAACTGGCTTTGCTAAGGGGAAAGACCCCTTCCATCACCGTTAAGCCAATAAAAACAAAGATTCTATCTACCAGTCTGGGTTATTGTATAAATTAGCATTTCTAAAAATAATTATATAAAAAAGAACCAATCTTAAAAATAGAGTGCTGTATAAAATTAAAAAATGCATATTAAACGTAAAAATGATTTACCGACATATTGTGCTCTGAGATAAAGCTCCAACACCGGGTATTCTAAGTTTCGCCAAGGCATTTCCCACATCGGCTTGAGTTACTCCTAATTTGATCCTTCTTTGCTTGAATTTTTCTGCAAAAGCTTCCAGATCTTTTGGGTCATTGCTATCGTTATTTATTGAGCAATTTTCATCATTAGCTATTATATTGTCTCTATTGAGCCCTTCATTTTTTGTAATAGTTTCGTTGTTGCTTCCTAAATTTTTGCTTATATTTATCATCTTAACGGTAGAGTTAAAGTCGAGAGAAGATTTTAATTTATTTTCGTTGTAAGATTTACGATCTAATGCTTTCTGTTTCTTGGAAAAGTTGTAATGATTCTTATTAGGCATAAAAATATTGACTGGTGGAACGTGAAAAAAACTAGTTTCATTGTAATAACTATCTTGCTGAGGATTGTTATCTGAGGTTTTTGAAGTTTTATCAAAAGCTGAACTATTCTCGTAAATTTCCCCATAGTTATTACTAAAACAATTTTCGCTATTTTGAACCTTGAGATTTTCGTGCTCCCCAGATGTGGTAGGGATTGTTGTTTCATCCTTTGCATTTAATTTGGGAAATATTTTTAGTGGATGGTGGCCAAAATCATACGTGATTGAGTGATTATTATTGTTATAAAATGATGTGCTATTAAAGGGTAGAAATGGTTGATGCAATCCAGGTATAAGATTACAAGCTCCACCCATTACATGAGAGCCCACAATCGATGTATCTGTCAGTTGATCTATGCCGTTATTCTCGGCTCCCACTTCATTTCTTGAACCCCAGTTAGCTACACTGTTACATTCGCTCATTGAAGAATTAGGGGGTATTTGATGAGAATGGTAATAATTGGTATAATTTTTGTAATTATAATTGTAATAATATGGAGTATAATCATCTCCATCTTTCCTGGTTGGAACATTGTAATAACTACTGTAATCAATAAGATCTAATTTGTTCTGATTACTAATGTTACCAATGCGTTTCCCGTCTTTTCGTTCTAAAGCGCCTCTAAAGAGACTATCCTGATGATCGGTTTCATCATTATTATTAAGAGCGAGATTATTAGAACTCGTAGTTCCTGAATGATGGCCTCTTATAAATTGTTGATCACTTCCATTGTTAATATTTTCTAGGTGAATATTATCTAAAATAGGAAAAACATTTTTTGGGCCTGTATCATTCGTACCGTTTGCCGTATTCAAGAACAAATTTTCGTTAATTACTTGCGGATAGTAATAATGATGATAGGAATTGTAAAATTGACGAGTTAACGATTGATTGCCTATCATATTGGTGTTTGAAGTGATAAAATTTTGAGGAGTTAAATCAGAATTATTTTCAGTGCAAAATTGGTTAAAATTGGTAAAATTAATGTTGATATTATTATCGTATTCTAAGGTGAAAGGTGTGTACGAAAAATTTTGAAAAGGTATCCTGTCCTTTAATTTATAAGAAATAGATAAAGTAGGTTCTACAGACTTTTTAGAAAATAGATTATTAGATGTGTTGCAATTAGTTGCTTCGTTTTTGATAGCCACACTCATTTATGAATGTATATTTGATTTTGCGAATCATCTATCATATTTGATAAATATTTTAACGATTTCTTCATATTGCAAATTTTGATGAGATGGATTTATTGATATCTAATCTATTCTATAAAGTAAATATGTGATATTTAAGAGACAGATTTTTTTACTCTGTCACCTAAGGGATCTTTCAGACACAACGCTTTTTTTTCAAAACGGTAAAAAATAAACATAGCTTAGTGGTTTAAGTTTCAAAGAATATAAATTGTGCTTGTTTTTAGTTTTGAAAAAAATAATGTCATGTTTAGAAAGTCCATAATCACTTATTTTTTAGTCATTTTTAATTGCTCATATTGGTTTCTTAATTTGGACTTACAGGGTTTCCCATTCAAAAAAAGGAAAAGTCCCAATCAAAAAAGGAAAAGATTCAATCATAAAAGGAAAAGGTCCGATCAAAAAAGGAAAATGTTCAATCAAAAAAGGAAAAGATTCAATCATAAAAGGAAAAGATTCAATCATAAAAGGAAAAGGTCCGATCAAAAAAGGAATAGGTTCAATCAAAAAAGGTAAAGTGTCAAACAAAAAAGGAAAAGGTCCAATCAAAAAAGGAAAAGTATCAATCGAAAAAGGAAAATTCCCAAAAGGAAAGGAAAAGTGTCAATCAAAAAAGGAAAATTTCCATTCAAAAAAGGAAAAATTTTTCAATTTTTCTTAAATTTTTATTTATTTTTGTCATTCCTTCTTATTTTATTTCTAACTTTTTGCGATTTCTTTACTTTATTTGTATCTCTTTCCTCAATTTATTTTTCTTACTATATTTTTTCTCAATTTTTTTTCTTCTCATTTTGATAATTCTTTTGTATTTTTAAAAATAATTTATAAATTTAGGTCTATTTTTTTAACAATTCTTGACGTTTTTTTTCTCATCATACTAATTTTTAAAGGGATCATAACTATCCGGGATCTTCACGGGATTTAAAGGGATCCCTTTAAAATTTCAATTTTTTAAAGGATAAAGAACTACACGGCATTATCACGTTTGAACCATGATATAGAAGAATCTTATTTTAAAAAGCGTTTTCCGCGCGTTTCGTTTGTTTCATTTTATAATTTTATTGTTATTCATTAATTTTCAATGTTGTTTTTTTTGGCCTTATGAAATAAGATATGTCTAATATAGGGTATCAATCGATAGCCAATCAAAAGATGTATTCAACTGGTCAATCTCTTTCCCATATGGAGCTGGTCTACGTCTTGGGGGGTCAGAAATATTTTTATCAACATAAAATATCGATATGGTTTTCAAATAAAAGCTAATTTTAATATTGTTTGACTGAAAGTCTTCATTCTTGGTCTGGATGGGCATGACTTGGTCTGAGGGGGGGGGGGGGGTAGGGTTGGAGGGAGGGTGGTGTAAAAATAATTTTTTTTGATATTTATATCAAATAAACGCTAATTTTAATATGGTTTGACTGAAATTCTTCATTCTTGGTCTGGATGGGTATGACTTGGTCTGGGGAGTGGGGTTGGAGGGAGGTTGGTGTAAAAATAATTTTTTTTGATATGGGTATCAAATAAAAGCTGATTTTAAAATCGTTTGACTGAAAATCTTTATTCTTGGTCTTGAGGGATATGACTTGGTCTGAGGAGTAGGGGTGAAGATGGGGGGGGGGGGTTTAAAATAATTTTTTTATATGCGTATCAAATAAAAGCTAATTTTAATATGGTTTGACTGAAATTATTCATTATTTGTCTTGATAGGTATGACTGTCAGGCCCTCAACATATTAACAAAATGTTTAGTTGGATAGAATTTGCAGAAATAAAAGAGAAGAAGATAAAAAAAAATTTTTAATCTTTTTTCGGTTCCAATCTTGAACTTGAAATATATAATTTGCAGTGTTCTATATTTAGCGCGTTATTCCATAGCTTTTTAGTATCGATAGCTTTAGCGTGCTACATTTTTTTAAAAAGAGCTTGTTACTAAATAAATAGCAAAAATTATTATAATAGTTTTATAATTAATTCTAAAATCATAATCTTTTTATTTTATCTGTACCAAAATTATTTTTATTATCAATGTCTACTGTCGACATTTAAAAGTTATTATTTTTTTGAAAAATATATTTACAATGCATATTTTTAAATGTAAATTTAAATAAATAAAATAAAAAGATTATGATTTTAGAATTAATTATAAAATTATTATAATAATATTTGCTATTTATTTAGTAACGAGCTCTTTTTAAAAAAATGTAGCACGCTAAAGCTATCGATATTAAAAAAAATAGCTATGGAATAACGCGCTAAATATAGAACACTGCAAATTATATATTTCAAGTTCAGGATTGGAACCAAAAAAAGAATTAAAAAATTGTTTTATCTTCTTCTCTTTTATTTCTGCAAATTCTATCCAACTAGACATTTTGTTAATATATAGAAAGCCTGACAGTCATACCCATCAAAACAAAAAATGAATAATTTCAGTCAAACCATATTAAAATTAGCTTTTATTTGATACCCATATCAAAAAGAATTATTTACACCAACCTGCCTCCAACCCCACTCCCCAAACCAAGTCATACCCATCCAGACCAAGAATGAAGACTTTCAGTCAAACCATATTAAAATTAGCGTTTATTTGATATAAATATTAAAAAAATTATTTTTACACCACCCTCCCTCCAACCCCACTCCCCAGACCAAGTCATGCCCATCCAGACCAAGAATGAAGACTTTCAGTCAAACCATATTAAAATTAGCTTTTATTTGATACCCATATCAAAAAATTTATTTTTTACACCACCCCCCCCCCCCCCTTACCCCTACACCCCAAACCAAGTCATACACCTCAAGACCAAGAATAAAGATTTTCAGTCAAACGATTTTAAAATTAGCTTTTATTTGATACCCTTATCAAATAAATATATTTTTTACTCCCACCCCCCTCCATTAACCACCCCCCCCAGACCAAGTCATGCCCATCCAGACCAAGAATGAAGACTTTAAGTCAAACAATATTAAAATTAGCTTTTATTTCAAACCCATATGGATATTTTGTGTTAATGAAAATATTTCTGACCCCGCAAGACCTAGACCTGCTCCATATGGGGGAGAGATTGACCAGTTGAATACATCTTTTGATTAGCTATCGATTGATACCCTATATTAGACATATCTTATTTCATAAGGCCAAAAAAAAACAACATTGAAAATTGATGAATAAAAATAAAATTAAAAAATGAAACGAAAAGCGCGAAAACGCTTTTTAAAATAAGATTCTTCTATATCATGATTCAAACGTGATAATGCCGTGTAGTTCTTTATCCTTTAAAAAATTGAAATTTTAAAGGGATCCCTTTAAATCCCGTGAAGATCCCGGATATTTATGATCCCTTTAAAAATTACTACATATGTATGATGAAAAAAAAAGTCAAGAATTGTTAAAAAAATGGACCTAAATTTATAAATTATTTTTAAAAATACAAAAGAATTATTAAAAATGAGAAGAAAAAAATTGAGAAAATATATAGTAAGAAAAATAAATTGAGAAAAGAGATACAAATAAAGTAAAGAAATCGCAAAAAGTTAGAAATAAAATAAGAAGAAATGACAAAAATAAATAAAAATTTAAGAAAAATTGATAATTTTTTTTAAAAAAATTTTAAAAAATTACGATTTTCCTTTTTTGAATGGGAATTTTCCTTTTTTGATTGACACTTTTCCTTTCCTTTTGTGAATTTTCCTTTTTCGATTGACACTTTTCCCTTTTTGTTTGACACTTTTCCTATTTTGATTGAACCTTCCTTTTTTGTGTGACACTTTTCCTTTTTTGATCGGACTTTTTCCTTTTTTGATCTGACTTTTTCCTTTCTTTTTGGGAATTTTCCTTTTTTGATTGACACTTTTCCTTTTATGATTTACCCTTTTCCTTTTTTATCGGACCTTTTCCTTTTATGATTGAAACTTTTCCTTTTTTGATTGGGATTTTTCCTTTTTTGAATGGGAAACCCTGTATATATATTAAGATTATAGTTATTTAAAACAAAATGTTTTTTCTCACCATAAAATCATATATTCATAGATCTGTAAAATATGGGTGATGAGACCGGAGTTATTTTGTCCATAAAAAATAGATGAAGAAGATTTTCCAAAATATCTATACTTAGTTTTATTATTTAAATATACGTCTACCTAGAAATTAATATTTCTATTATTTATGGAAAAACCCGGGATAGTACCTTTCATCCTTTAACAGTGCTTATCAAAGATATACTTTATTTCTAAAAATTTTTTTATAAAAATGATAGTTGAAAGTAAATAAATGAAGATACATTGCCAAATATGTGAAATATATCAAGTTCATTCCTATTACATATATATATCACCCGGAAGAGCTTATTGTTAGTTAAAACTGTCATATAAATTACAAAAATTCAGCCATCTTTATCGTTATTCTTAACCCTAGACAGAATCGTGAATTCTATTATTTTTAATTTAATATTAATCCCTTTTTAAAAATGGTTAATACGCACCCCGCCAAAATTTGTCCCAGGTCTTCACATTTAATAAAAATCAATTTCAAGATATTAAATTACCAAAATATATTGTCAATATTTTTATTCAATAAATTTGAGACTACTTTATCATTTAGAATTGATATTTAGTTTGAGTAACTTTTATAGAATAATTTATTAAATATGTAAAAAATTATAAAATTAAAATAATTTGTATTTAAAAATTTTCATGTGCTAAACATTTTTTAAACCATTGAAGAACCTTATTTAAATATATTTTTAGTTTAAAATTCAAATATCAATGTTTATTCATTTTATAATTATTTGAGAAGAAATTACCTGTCAGGGTATAACACTATCCCAGGTCTCCTCTACCATACAAACTGGCTACCTAATATATAAAAACTACTTAAACCTACTAACTTGCTGCCTAATTTCTGTATTTTAATAAATTCTCGGTTTTAAAGTATTCTAGAAATTCTTCTCTCTTTTAGTATAC